TTTGCAAATAAAGCGTGTCCGAGTTTTAAAATTGAAACATTCCGCGCCGAGTTTTTGGCGTGGCTGGACGAGCGCGACGCGGAGAAATAACCAGCGGGCGCGACGCTTACGAGGTATTAAAGAGCGACGGCGCGCGCATGGCATGGGACGAAATAAAGCAAATGTTTAAGTAACAACCTGCGAGGCTGGGCGGGGCAACCCGTCCAGCGTTCCACGTGGAACAATTCGCGGGGCGGGGATATTTTCCCCGCTTTTTTTGTTTTTGCCGCATTTATGTAGTATCTTTGTAGTATTAAAATACTTTTGTATCATGGAATTAGATAATTTTGATTTTAACGCAGACGTTTGGAAGAAACCCAGCGCGACGGCGTGACAGGTTATTATATCGTTAAAACAAGCGCGAATATTAACACCAACCCGCGTAACGAATTTACTTTATTATCGGGTAATCGCGAGTTATGGCAATTCTATTTAGAGTTTTTTAACGGCATTAATTCCTTTAAAGACCGATTAACGGACGATAATTTATTAGCAAAAGCAATTAAAAAATAAACACTATGAACCAAAATACTGAAAAACGCGAAAAAATATTAGCGTTCATACGTGAACACGGGTTAAAACCCGTTAAAGGCGGCGTAACTGCGAAAATGCTTTGTCGCGAATTTGATATTAGCCCCCAAACGTGGGCGCGCTGGCAACGCGAAGTCAAGGGATTTAGCGACGCTATCGCAGACGCAAACGCGGAGTTTAAAACCACGTTAGGCGGGCGGCTGGTTAAATCGCTGGTTGCGGTAGCGACGGGAGCGAAAACCATAAAGACGCGCAAACGCTATGCGCCAAACGCAGAGGGACAACCCGAATTAATAGAACTAATTCGCGATGAAATAGACAACCCGCCCGACGTAAAGGCGATTATTTACCTACTGCAAAACATTGAGCCAGAGGAATGGAAAGACAGGTTAACCGCTGACGTGAATTTTAAACCTATTGCGCTAAATGTTTCACGTGAAACAAACGAGGCACTAAACGCCATAACTAAAAATGTTAACAAAAGCGATAAATAGCGGCAAAGAACACCGCAAACATTATAGAGGCGCGCGGTTAATTGATGCGGCGTGTCGCGACCGAATTTGTCCGTACTGCGAACGTAACAGGTTACACGCAACACGCAAGCGCGAAAACGCCGCCGCATATATTGAGGAAGAAGCGCGCGACGAAATAAGCGAGCGGATAAACGAGCGCGACAACATTTATATATTAAAAGTTTAACACATGGAAACAGGAAAAGTTTTTTGCGGAATTGCGCGCGCGCTGGCTGACAATAAAACAATTATTGTTAACAAGGGCGGCACACGTAGCGGCAAGACGTTTGCAAACCTGCAATTTATTTTGTGGTACGCGCAAACGTTTGAAAACGTCGTTGTTTCCGTCGTGGGCGAAACTATCCCGTTTTTAAAGCGTGGCGCGGTACGCGATTTTTTAGACATTACGAAAGGCGCGATTTTGCCGAACGCGTGGAACTCTACCGACATGACGCTAACGTTGCCCAACGGCTCAAAGATAGAGTTTTTTAGCGCGGATAACGAAAGCAAAATACACGGCGCGGCGCGTGACGTGCTTTTTATAAACGAGTGCTTTTTTATCAGGTTTGAAACTTACCGCCAATTAAGCATGAGAACGCGCCGTTTTATTTTGTTGGACTACAACCCCCGCGCGCGCTTTTGGGTTGATGAATATTTATTGCAACGCCCCGAAACCTGCCTAATACACTCAACATATAAGGACAACCCGTATCTGACCGCCCGCCAAATTGCCGAAATTGAAAGTTACAAGAACGATGCGAATTTTTGGCGCGTTTACGGGCTGGGCGAAACGGGAAGCGTAGAGGGTTTAATATATACGGATTGGGAGCAATGCGAGGAACTCACGACCAATTACAAAAAGGAATTTTTTTGTTTAGATTTTGGTTTTACAAACGACCCGACCGCAATTTTACAGGTTAGGCAAGGCGTGGACGCGCTTTACATTAAACAAATTTGCTATAAATCTAATATGTTAAACGCTGATATTGCGCAAGCGTTAAAAGAGGCGGGATCGACGCGCCAAACGCTCATTGTTGCCGATAGCGCGGAGCCGAAAAGCATAGCGGAAATTAACACGCACGGGCTAAACGTGAAACCAGCGTTAAAAGGCGCGGGGAGCATTAGCGCGGGAATTGGCGCGGTGCAGTCGTTTAAACTTAAAGTTACAAGCGGTTCAAGCGACCTAATTAACGAACTGCGTAACTATATGTTTAAGCGCGACAAAAACGGGGAGTATATAAACGAACCGATTGACAAGTTTAACCACGCGTTAGACGCGTTAAGGTACGGCGTTAATACGTTTTTGTGGGTTAACCCTGTTTATCAAAAACCACGCGCCCGCCATTTAAGAACCTCATATAATAACTAACATGGAACTAAAAAAAATCAATCAATTGCGGGAAAAGAACGCGCGACGTTTAGGCGTAATGCCGTGGGCGCGTTTTGCCGCATTATTGCCAGCGTTAAGCGCGGAAACCGTGAAAGCGATAAAAGACCTACACGCGCCGCGCAAGTTTTGCGGGCATGACTGCCCCGATAATTTACAACGCGTTAATTTCGGCACGCTGGTGACACTACAGGCAACCCCTACCGCGAGTTACTACGAGACCGCTACAAATTTGGTAGCGGCACTATTTCCCGAAATCAAGCGAGAAAAGATAGACAACGCCCCCGCCGTCGATGTGCTGGGCGTGGTGTCAATGATTTCGCGCGAAATGGAACGTATAGGCGAACTATTTGCAACACTTAATGATAATCCGACACCCGAGGAACAACGCGCGGGCGTAGATTTGTTGCGGTTCGGTGCGTTTGGCATTGCCGATTACTACGCACAGCGAATGGGCATAACCGACCACGAAATTGCATTTAATACACCGTGGGCGCGTATCTTTAAATGTTTGTCAATGGACAAGGCACGCGGAGATTATGAAAAAAGATTACGAAACATAATGCAAAACAAAACGACATGAACGAAATTAAACAAATAGCGACCGAGTTAAATTGCTCGTATATACACGACGATTTTGCGCGCATTAACCTGTTAGCGGACAAAGTAACACATTACCCGCTAATTGCCGAAACGTTGCCGACTGACGGCGAAATAATTTGCACGCACGCTCCCGCGATGACTGCGACAAAAAATGTTATAGTGTGTTTCTTAACGCCCTGTAATTTTGACTTCACAGGGCATGAGGCAAGCGACAAAATAAACGATATGTTAGAACTAGCGCAAAGGTTTATAGTTAAATATTGTGCGTTGCACGGTATTAATGTACCCGCGCGGCTACGTTATAACGCCGTGTTGGACTTTATGGACTATAATTTGTGCGGTGTGCGCGTGTCACTGGCAACCACAACCCCGCTAAACTGCAAGTAACATGGCTGGCACACCTTTACAAAACGGCTCTAATGACCCCTGGAAGACCGCGCACTCACGCGTAGAACAACTAAAAAGCGAGATTTCGCAAGAGATAACCGCCAAAGGTTTACGCGCAAGCGGACGCACGCAAAATTCATTGCGTGTGGAAAGAGAGGGCAACGCAATTATTTTGTACGGGCGCGAGTTTTTCGCCGCCCTTGAAAGCGGCACGGCTCCGTGGACGGGGCGCAGTGGTCACAAATGTACCGCAAAGCAATTCCGCGGGATAATCGCGCAATGGATAGAGGACAAAGGGCTTGTTGTTGACAATATCAAAAGCGCGAGTTTTCTAATTGCACGGTCAATCATGCAAAAAGGTACGTTAACACACCGCAACCCACGTAATGACATTTACACACCTGCAATAACGCGTGCAGTAAGCGACATTGAGCAACAAATAAATTTGTTTTTTGAGCAAAAAATCACAGACACGATTTTAAAATACAAAAGGACATGAAAACTATTTATTTAGACTATGACGAAAATTTACGCCTAACATACGCGGATAACATACGCGCTTTTGGCGGGGAGTTTTTAGCGTTTGAGGGGGACGCGGCGCGCGTTGAGGTAACCGCGGAGGGGTTAACCCTTGTGGGTTATTTTTACGCGGGTGGTGTGACTATTTCGGTTTTGCCGATATTGCGCCAGCGTTTTAAACACCTTGCCGCCGCGCCTTTGGACGCATACAACATGAATGAAACGATACATTTTAATATTGCGGTATTTGACGAAAGCGGCAATGAATTAAACGATATGGTCAGTGAGTTTTCAAACCTGTGCGCATACGTTGCCGTAGGGGACGAAAACTACACGGGGCAAAGGTTCATAACATACAACCCCAACGCCCCAGCGGGAACCAATTTTATAACATTCTTTGCAAGCGCAAGCGCAACACACTTTACTAACACCGCTGGCGCGCCCTTTGTTATTACCGCGCGCGCGGGTTTACGCTCGTTTGATTTGTCGCAGTTTATTACCCGCCATGAAAACGCGGTAATACAAACCGACGAAGCAGTAAAGATAGACGGGGACAACACGACCACAAACCAGCGGTTAAAGATTTACGCGGAACTTGACGAGCGTAAAGAAAATGTGCTGTTTTTGCGCTGGATAGACAACGCGGGGATTAGACACGGGCGCACATTCTCGCGAGGGAATGTAACAACCAGCGGAACAAGTGCGACAGGTTACACACCCATGCGCGAAAATAACGGCGTACCACTTGCACCCGTTACCGACAAGAAACACGGTGAGACTATTGCGTTTGGTGACGATGCGATAAAAGAAAGATATTTGCATGAATTGCAGACACTTGTTACAAGCCCGAAAGTTGAATATTACAACGGCACGGCATGGGAGCGCGTGACAGTGCAAGATACCGCCATAACATACAAAAGGCGTGAGCACGTTTTGGCATTTAACGCCACTATTTCAAAACCGAATAAAAACGTAATACAATGGTGACGGAACAAATTTACATCAACGGAACCGCCGCGGACATGGGAACGGATAAAATAAACCTGTCCTATGAAAATAACTATTTTGGCGCGGTTGATACCTTAAAACTTTCGTTTTCGTACTCGTTCACACTGCCGAGGACACTAAAAAACGATGCAATATTTTTGCAAGGTTATGACGCAACTACGGGCGGGGAACCTTTGCGGAAATACTATAACTGCGAATACAAGCGCAACGGCGTGGTTATCATTAACGGCAAAATTTGCGTTAACGATGTGACCGCGCGCGGATATTCTTGTAATTTGGTTTGGGGACTTGAAGAACTGCGTACAATGGTAGATGAAAAACTAAAATTGTGGCAATTACCAGCGGGAACCAGCCATCAAAACGACATTTTACCTGTATCGTCAAACCCCACGCCCGACGAACGCCGATTTTTTACCAGCGGCACGGGTTTTTTCGGTTTTGCTGACTATTACCCCAACGCGTCACGCGAAACGTGTCGTATAGCGGGTGTGCCGTACACGTTCCCCGTTATAAACGCGCAATATGTTTTAGATTTGATATACCAGCGTTACGGCGTTTCGCTTTCGTTGCCGCAAGACAAACAACACATTTTGAATAACATGGTTATCGCGTTAACGACCGCGTTAGCGTGGCGCGAAAACATGGAAACCCCGCGCGGCTCCTTTATTCTTGACAAGCAATTTAGTGAGCAATACGGGTACGAATATCAATATTTAATAAACAAGAACGCCAACGGAATTGTTTACCAGCGGCACGACCCTGTAACGGGACAATATATGTTAACCGCTTCGCAAAATTGCACGCTTAAAAACGTACACATTGAGTTTACAAATAACGTCCGTTTTAACATAGATAGCGACGTTTTTGGTTATCACGTTGCGGAATATGACAACGCGAGGGCGTTGTGGGTTGTAATGCTGGATTTTAAAGAAATCACTTTTAACGAGAGCGATGACTTTTTTATTAAAGTTAACAAGCACGACGGCACGGCAGACGTTTTCCCGCATGAGTGGATAAGAAACCTTACACTTTTGCAGTACGATTTTGACGTAAAGGCAGACGGGCAAGGCATCAAAGATTTAGGCGCGTATTTTATCCCCGCGAATTTGCCCGACATGACCGCTATTGACTTTATCAAAGAAATTTGCGTATTTTTGGGCGTTGTTCCTACAGGAATAACTCGCGGCGTTGCTGGTTCTATTGTGTTAAATTGCGGTGTGTTGGATAGCGTTTTAACGGGCGAGGTGTCAAGCGTTGAAGCGGTAGAAATTGAGCAATTAACACCGCATTATAGCGACGCGGCACAAAGCAACGTTTTCAAATTCGCTACAAATGAACTGCAAACCAATGAACGCGCGGGCGCGTTGCTGGTACAAGATGAAACCGCGCAAATAACAAAGGACTATTTTACAAGTAAATTCGCATCGTTAATGGGACTTAACGAAGTACCTTTGTGGGACGTTAGCGGCGGCGGTAGCGAGGAACTAACCGCCACACTTAATGAACTCGCGCCCGTGCTTTGTACGCTGGACGAAACAAAGACCGCCGCGACGCTGGTACAGGGTAATTTAAATTTCAATTTTATTTTGGCAAACTATTACGCCACTAAAAAAGACATTTTAAACACGCCGTTAATAGTGGACATTGTCGCGCGCCTCACGCCTCAACAAGTCGCAAAGTTAGACGATGCAAACGTGTACTACATACCTGCGTTAAAAAATTACTTTGTCCCGCTGAATATCACAACAAACGGTGATACCTATAAGTTAAAACTCATTAGGTTAACGCGGGGTACAGCACCCACACCGCCGCCCGACCCCGATATTATAGTTATTACCGATTATGCGCAATATTTCCAGCCGTTCCACATTGACGCGCACACAAACACGTATATTTATAGCGGCGCACTTTATACAGGCGTTGTAATACCTATCCCCGATGACGTTGTAAGCATAGAAATAACCGCCCCGAAATATCACGCAATACAATACGCCCTATTAACCGACGTTGACAACATGGGGCAACACAACGCGCCACACTACGCACAAGGGTATGACGAATTAGTGAACATTCCCGCGGGGGCGATTGAAGCTCTCATAAAAGAGGACAACGCAAACTATTTATATTTTACCCGTTATTTTGACGCTGGCTATAATCAGCCTGTAAGTGTTAAATTTTTATTCTATTAAATTATGGACGCAAACACACCACGTGAAGAAATTTTCCGCGTTGAGATACAAGCAGACGCGGCAATAAAAACATTGACCGAATACAACAACGCCATTGACACCACAAAGGCGCAAATGGACGAGTTAAAACAGGCCAATAAACAAGGCACGGAAGAATTTACAAAACTTTCGCAAGTCCTCGCGACGCAAAAACGCGAGCGCAACGAATTGCAAAAGGTTATCCAAAACGATGTTAAATTACAACGCGAAGAAGCAACCAGCCTAAAAGGTATGCGCGCGGCTCTTGCTAACCTTACAAAGCAATATGACGAGTTAGGCGCGGCAGAGCGCAACGGCGCGAAAGGTGACGAATTGCGCCAGCACATCAACAAAATTACAACCGAATTAAAGGCGGCAGAGGAAGAAACGCAAAGGTTTTACCGCAACGTAGGTAATTACGAGCAAAGCGTAAAAAGCGCGCTTAAAGAAGCGAAAGAAGAATTAACACAATTGAATTTTGCTTACGACAACATGAGCGAGGCGGAAAAAAATACCGCGAAAGGGCGCGAAATGGCGCGAAAGTTAGAGGAACTAACCGAAAAGGCGGGAAAATTAAAGGACGCAATAGATGCGGCAAACCTGCAAACAAAAAACGCCGCCAGCGACACGCGCGCGTTTGATACGCTCAACGAGGCGGCACAACTAACGGCGGCAAGTTACGGGTTAATGCAAACCGCCGCCGTCGCGTTTGGTGCCAGCGAAAAAGACGCGGAAGAAATCACAAAACGCATGGCGGTAGTTATGCAAACAATAAATTCCTTGCAGACGATACAAAACCTGTTGCAAAAGGAATCAAACGTAATGCGCGCGGTTAGCACCGTACAAACGTGGGCAAAAACACAAGCGGAAACAGCCGCCGCCGCCGCAACAAACGCACATGGCGTTGCGCTGGGCGTGGCAACGGTCAAGCAAGCGGCATTTAACGTAGTGGCAAACGCAAACCCATACGTATTGATAGTAACAGGTATTGTTGCCGTAGTGGGCGCGCTTACGGCATTTAGTGGGGCAACGGACGATGCAACCGACAAACTAAATGACGCGAACACCGCCGCCGACGATTTTGCAAAAAGCGTAGGCAACGCCGCGGGAAAAGACCTTGCCGCAAGCCGAATAATGTACAATGCCGCCACCACAGCGGCAAAGGGTACAGAGGGACGCAAAAAGGCTATTGAAGCATTACAAAAGGCGTACCCGAATTATTTCGGCGACTTAAACTCCGAAACCGCCGCAATTAGCGACCTTACAACCCGATACACCAAATTAACGAAAGCCATTTTAGCCAACGCCATCGCACACGGCGCACAAGCACAATTAGAAAAGGAAACCGAAAAACTAGCAGAACTAAACGCAAAACTGCAAATGTTGCAGAAACAACGTGACGCGCTGGGCGGCAAGGCTTCAAAGGGCGGTTTTTTGGGTGGCTTATTTGACAATACAGACGAACTCGTTGCGGGCAACCTGTCCAAACAAATTGCCGACATACAAAAGCAAATTGTAGACCAAAACGACGCTGTTGTAGCGTCATTGGACTATTACACCGAAATGCAAAAAAAGGCGGACGCGTTCGCCAAAATCAAGCCCGACAAAGACAAGGACAAAGACAAGGACAAAGACAAGGGAACAGGACGTACTACAAGCCGCGGAACAACAAAAACCACCGAGGAAAAAGCGGCAGAAAAAGCGGCGGCAGACGCGGCGAAACATTTGGAAACTTTACGCAATGAACTTTTAAAAAGTTATGCAAAACTAAAAGAAAGCACCGCAAAAGCGGGGAACGATAGCGTTGAAGACATACGAAATTACTACAATTTGCAGTTAGCGGCGTTGCGCATTCATTTTGCGGAATTGGGCGAATTAAGCGAGGAAGAACAAACCGCTTATGACGCATTATATAATAACATTATTGCCCAGCGCGACAAGGCGATAGAAAAGTTTTTGAAAGACGCAGACAACAACGAGCAACGAATAAAAGCGGAATTAGCGAAACAAAACGAAGAAACGTTAGGTTTGCAAATTGAGAACGCCGCCGAAAATTCGCCCGAACGCATGGCGTTAGAATTGCAATTACTGCAAATGCAGTACGAACAAAAATTGCAGTTACACAAAGGTAACGAGGAAATGTTAACCGCGTTAACCGCCGAAAACGAGCGCAAGCGCACCGAAATTATGCAACAATACGCAGAGGCGCAACGCGAAATACTCTACAACAACGCTACAAATGTGGCGGGCGCAATGGGCAATGCGGCGGCAATGCTGGAGAAATTCGCAGGCAAGTCCAAAGCGGCCGCCATAGCGTCTAAAAGTTTAGCGGTAGGCGAAATTCTCGTAAATCAAGGCGTTGCGGTTGCAAGAGGTATCAAACAAGCGCAAAGTGTACCATTTCCCGCAAATATCGGCGCAATTGCGTCAACCGTCGCGGCAATTCTCGCGGGCGTAACGTCAGCAATGCGTGCCGTGAATAGCGCGAAATTTGCAACAGGTGGTTATGTTAGCGGCGCGGGAACCAGCACAAGCGATTCAATCCCCGCGCGATTGAGCAACGGTGAAAGCGTGATAAACGCAAATTCAACCGCATTATTTACAGGGCTACTTTCGGCACTCAACCAAATAGGCGGCGGCGTGCCAATTCAAGCGGGAGAAACCGCCGCAAATGTGGCGGGCGAAGCAATGTTAGCGCGCGCGTTTGCAATAGGC